TTATAGGCTTATGTACTTTCGAAGATTTACTTGAAGAAAAAAACATAAAGCTAGGAAGAAGTGATTCGAAATTATGTTTCTACAGTGGTGTGTATTCTTTGGGAAGAGTAACGATCACAGGCGGATTTACAGGGGGGGGGGAGGCTTTCGGGCTGAAGCCTCCCCCCCCCAAAATGGTAAAATGTAACCATGTTTTATGGTAAAAAACATTAAAAAATTATGTCTTAAAGTATATTGCTCGTTTAATTACATTTAATAGGACTGCAAGAATCACTTAAACACCATTTCATATAGATAGTTATCTTTCTGTTTTTCTAAAGTAATTATCGTTATATATATATATATATTTATATATATGAAAAAAAAAGCTTCCGGGCTGAAGCCTCCCCAAAATTAAATCCTGGATCCGCTAATGGTAACGATGAAGGACACTTCGGAGGAAGGATTCATAAATTAAACATGACACTGCGTTGCGTTAAGATACAATTTTGAATAATAGCTCATTGCAAAGAGGATAGAATGATGAACATTTCCCTTGCGGACAATATGCAAGTTTGATTTTTAGTTTTTGAGATATTTTAATCTATATGCAAAAAAAAAATCAATTAGTCGACTTTACTCGAGCGTTACTCATCGGAGATCTGACGGCGCAATCTGATTCACTCTCCACAAAAAAAGTGCAAAACGCTCCAAAAATAGTTTTCATTTTAAAATTCTTCAATATTAAACTTGTTTTAATTTTTATATTACAGAAATTAAAAAAATATTATGCTATTACAACAGCTGGTAACATGGATGGTAAAAGACTCAAGTATTGTTTTGTTACTATCATAAAATTGATAATAGTATTCTTTCCTACATTTTTTTTCTTAACATCCTTTAAACGCAGTGTCATTCATAAATTAAATACTAATAAAGGCACGCTTCTCGGAGCTGAGGACTACTTGAAATTGGGATTACTGATACCAAATGAAGAAGTGTATAAAGCTATAACAGAGCCTAATTTAGTTGACTTGTTCCCCAATTACATTAGTTTAGTTGACTAATTTAGTTGACTTGTTCCCCAATTAGTTTTTGAAGTTTTAGGGTACTTCCCGGGTGTGTATGATCGGTGACAGGTGGGATATGACCACCACGTGGATCCTTCGATCTTACCCGTTGTCGCTCCTCCTAGAAGGATCATGATACCATTGCGAGACGAAGTCAGAGCAGACTAGAGACGCTGGGGTTATAATCATAGTAACCAGTCCGACAGACTGGGTTAGTAACATGGTGATTGTAAAAAAACATCGATCCTCATTACTTTAACAAGGCCACTAAGAGATCTCATTACCAGTCTCCTACATTAGATGAAATCCTTCTCCAGTTCGAGGAGTCTCGAGTGTTTAGTTTGTTGGATTTGAAAGACGGATTATGGCAAACAACGGATTATAGGTAAATACAGATGGGCCAGGTTGCCGTTCGATGTAGTCACAGCACCTGAGGGGATTGAGAGCTTAGATGGAGTGTTTGCTATCGCAGAAAGAAATATAGCTAAAGATTGCCTGATCACAATAAAAAACTGAAACATTGTTACTAAGGGCTAGAGATAAAAATTCAAGTTTAATAAGCAAAAATGTCGCTTCGGGTTTTCAGAAATAACTTATATGGGACATCTAATAACAGACAAGGGTATGAAACCTGATTCCAGCAAAATAGAAGCATTTCAAAACTTGAACGCCCCTAAAACAAAGGAAGAATTATTTAAATTTTTACGATTTATTAACTATCTTGGGAAATATATTCCACACTTGACTGAGGTTAAGTTATGTATCCGGACCGTTGAGAGCCCTGATAAGGGACTCGTATTGGGTTTGGGAAAGCCCAGGATATCGCTTTCCAAGAACTGATTTACTTGGCAACCAACCTACCCACTTTGAAATACTTTGAACTCAACAAACCTGCAAATTTGCAATGCCATGTGAGCCAATATGGATTAGGAGCATGCCTTATACAAAATGGAAGACCAGTTACGTATGCATCCAAGGCCAGGACTAAAACAGAAAGTGTTAATGCTCTAATTGAGAAAGAATGTTCGACTATAGGATTTGGTTTAAGAAAATTTGAGCAGTATTTGTTGGAAAATACTAGCATAACTGTGGAGACAGAGCACAAATCCCTAGAATCAATTTTCAAAAACATTTAAACCAAGCATCAAAGAGGCTTCTTCGAATTTACTCAAAGTAGGGTGGTAAGTGAAATTTGGGTGATGTACACACCATCACCAGATTTTCACAGGTAGCAAAATTCATCTGGTAGACTCATTTTTTTAATATCATGTTATAAATATTCAAACAAATGCTTTTAAAATATCATGTTATAAATATTCAAACAAATGCTTTTAAAATTTTAATCAAATAAAGTCAATTTTTTTGCATGTGCTTTTGGACTAAATTGATATTCTAAATTTAGTTTTATTTAAAAAATCAAATAAATAAATAATAAATGTTTAAAAATAGTTGTGGATGAAAAATTTTTGTAGTTAATTTTTCCTCAATGTAGGATAGGGTGATGAGTGTAAGAGGAGACACCCAAATCACATTAGATGTTGTATAATAAGATTTTTAAATTCATGGAACATTTGTGATCCACTTATTAAAATGGTATATTTTAATACTTTGGAAATCTAATTATTTTGTAAAATATGCTAGTTGAAATTTGTTGATGTATTGGATAATTTAATACAATTAAACAAAAACAGATTATATAGATAGATGATAGAGTTAATTAAGCATCAGAGAAGTGACCTTTTAGCAAACATTTTATTAAGAAATGAATCTAAATGAACACTTTTAATTTCACATAAACATTATATTTCTAATGGATTGGTATAATAATGGAGCAGTGAAAAAATCGAACTCACTTTTGTTTACAGGATTAGAAAATAAAAGGCTTCAGATACTTCTCCTTGTATTACTACCCTGCATTTAGGATCATTTGTACATGCCTTCGTCAACCTCACTAATTTCCCTGGAACACCCAGCTCAGTCAGTCATGATCTTCCAAAGACAGTTTCTGTCAACGGAGTCATAGGCTGATTTGAAGTCAACAAATAATGCGTGTACATCCTGATCTACTTCCCATCATTTTTCAAGTAGTTGTTTTAGGATGAATATCTGATCTAGCGTACTCCTCCATCTCCTGAATCCTGTTTGATGGTCGCCTATTATGTTTTCATAATACGGATATATCCGATTTAGCAGAATATTGGTCATTATTTTATAGGCGACCAGAAGAAGTGCTATGCCTCTGTAATTGCCACATTCATGCATGGAGCCCTTCTTAAGGATAGGACAGATCAACCCTGTGCTCCATGCTTCTGGTATCCGTTCCTTCTCCCATATCTTCTGGATTTGATCTAAAAGCTTGGCCCCGAGTTCTTCTCCCCCATCCTTGAACAATTCTGTTGGTAGGTTGTCTATCCCTGGAGCCTTTCTTCTTTTAAGCCTGTTGATAGCTATTTCCACCTCCAGAATATCTGGTTTTTCAACCTCAAGTGGGTCGATGTCCTCAGTGTGGTCCATGTCTTCTTCGTTTGTGGGGTGCCCTTGATTAAGCAGCTGGAGTGTTCCTTCCAGATGCTTAGGATCTTTTCTTTAGATGCCGTCAATTTGCCATCTTTCCCTCACATTTGTGTATTTATTGCTTTATATCCTACCCTTTCTTTCCTGATTCTGCGAAGAATTCGCAGATATTTCCAGCCTGCCAGTTTCCTCAATAATTTGTAATCTTTCTTTGAGGAATTCTCTTTTGGTTGTTCTTATTATTTTGTTTGTCTTTTTCCTGGCGGCTGTGTATTTGTAAAGCATAGCTTGATCAGTTTGTAAGCAGAGGACTTTCTTTTCGCATGCTTCTGAGAACCATTTCTTGGCTCACGATTTCATGTATATCAATATAAATATATATATATATATATATATATATATATATATATATATATATATATATATATATATATATATATATATTTATTTATTTATATTTATATACAGTCGACTCTCAATTATTAGGATATTTTTAATAATTCGAACTCTTCGGCTGTTAACTTAGGTAAATTCGAAAAAATGCTGTATTTTGATACACTCGAAATCTTTGGCATAACAAGAGGAGGAGAGAGTGTTCTATAATTCGAACTAGGCCACTTCTTTTTATAATTTGAATTGAACCTAGCAATGTTTATTCCTCATTTTCCACGTAATGTTCACCTCCTTTCAGCCCAGCTAAACTTCCTAATTCTCTTTAGTTTGTCATGAGGAGTGCTAGGCAGAAATAGGCTGTGTCCAAATCCTTTGGATCAGAGATGCCAAGCCACATTGAAACAAAATACTATTCTTAATTTTTTATATTATATATATTGTTATCTATTCCAATGTTAATACAGAATTTTTTTGTCGTTTTCATTACTTTTTCTTTTTAATTAAGGCTATGTGTAAACAAAATGTATGTATCAGTATATAAAATTTATGTATAAGCTCACACCTACTCTCAAAAATATAATAAAAGCTCCTGATAATTCGAATTTTTCTTGTAGTTTCTTGGATTTCAAATTATCAAGAGTCAAATGCATATGTATTATTGGTAACAAAATCGGGGAAAAAAAACTACAATGTGATTTTAACATTCCTTGTATCATAATGGAAGTTGTTACATCATAACCTATGTCATAATATTAATAAGTTCTATTTTAAAAATTTAAAAAAAGGGTACAAAATGTTGAAGGTCATCTGGAATATTTCTAATAAACATAACATTCTTTTTTACTTTCACTTACAAAAATATAAAACATATAGTAAGGGAAAGTATTGCGATTGTTTAATTATGGGACATCTTATGTTCATTATTATACTTTATTATTTTTTAAATGCTTCAACTACTTATACATATTTATTTTCTTTTATATTTAATAAAATATTGATTCAACACAATAAAGATTTTTTTTTAGTAACATCTTAGATATATAAGCACTGGATTATGTAGATATATTGATGATTGTGGTTTCAACTGGCTCAAAATTCTATGGCCAAACAATGTTTTCAATCCATGGTACATAATTTGACACCCTTGTATAAATACTAGGATATCCCAAAGCACAACCTTTACCATAAGACACTATTCCCACTATAGAATACATGCAGAATATGTTCTTACGTTTTATTTGCAAAGGTCCTCCAGAATCACCCTTAAAAAATGAATAAAATCAGTTTTATACATACATATACATATATATATATATATATATATATATATATATATATATATATATATATATATATATATATATATATATATTAACAAACAAACATATATAAGATACAACAGATAAACACTTCAGTTCTATGCTTAGTTAGTAATATAAAACTACGGATATATATTACAATGAAAATGTTTTTTGTTTTTGCTTTAAATAGTTTTGCATTTTAGAAATATTTATATGCATGCAAAACGTGGACACTTAACAAGTCAGTTACGAAAAGGGTTAATCGTTTCGAAGGGAAGATTCTGAGACACATTATTGGACCAGTAAAGGTCAATGAAACTTGGCGTCTGTGCCGAAATGCGGAGTTGAATGGAGAATACCAAGATTTGAGCAACTGCAACTTTGTTAGGTAACAAAGACTAAAATAGATAGGTCAGGTCATCAGAATGGAAGACTGCAGGTGCCCTCTAAAAGTGTATAGGAACACTTCAGGTAGGATAGACCCAGGGGAAGATCCAGATCATGCTGAAAGAATAGTGCCCACATGCAGGAATAAACATAGCACACGTTGAAGATAGGGTCGTTTTTATTTTGCATTTGGATTTTTGACAATTATCTTGGAGATTATTTTTTAACGAAAGGTCAATTCCACATGTTTCATTGGACGTAAGACAAAAACTCTTAGAGTTTGATTAGGAATTTCTACCTTATCCCCTGTACTCTCCAGACCTTGCCCCATCCGATTTTTACTCATTTATTTAATTAAAAAAATTCTCTTCAAGATAACTGTCGAAAATCCAAAAGCAAAATGAAAACGTATCTCAATGAATATTTTGCAAGTGAGTAAAAAAAGGGTATAAGAGGCTTCCTGAAAGATGGAAGAAGGTAATAGAGCAGAACAGTTAATATATAACACAGTAAATCAACTTTAAACAACAAATAAAGAAAAGGAAAAGAACTTATAGGACAACCTAATATTATATTACCCTCCTAAATTCATTTCTCATTTCTTTTATGATAGTATCTTGTTTTGCTTAGCCCTAATGAAGATTACCCTCTTATATTACCATCTTAGGCACAAAACATTATAGTATATCATTATTATTATTATTATATATCAGAAAAGACACTGAGCATCTGGAAAGAACATTTCCAGGATATTCTCAATCAAGGGAACCTGATGAACGAAGAAGACATGGACCACACTGAGGACGACCAAGAAGAAGTTGAAAAACCAGACATGCAGGATGTAGAAATAGCTATCGAAAGGTTTAAAACAAGAAAGATCCCAGGGATGGACAGCCTAACATCAGAACTGTTTAAAGATGAAGGAGAAAACTTAAGAGCCAAGTTACTACAACTAATCCAGAAAATATGAGAGGTGCTTGGAATATAAGCCTACTCTGCCCTATCCTAAAGAAAGTCTCCATGTATGAGTTTAGTAATTACAGAGGTATAGCACTCCTTCCTGTTGCCTACTAGATAATGACCAATATCCTACTAAACCGGATACATTGGTATTGCGAAAACATAATAGACGACCTCCAAGCTTGGTTCAGTAGAGAAAGGAGCATGCTGAGGTATAGCATGACCAGACCTTCATCCTAAAATGAGTACTTGGAAAACAATGGGAAGCAGCTGTGCATGACTTATTTGTCGATTTCGAAGTAGCCTATGATTCCATGGATAGCAAGTGTCTTTAGAAAATCATGACTGAACTAGGAGTTCCTGGGAAGTTAGTGAGATTGACAAAGGTGTGTAGGAATGACTCTGAATGTCGAGTCCTAATACAAGGAGAAGCATCTGAAGCCTTCAAACTTCGAACTGGCGAACAGCCTATAACTCAATGAATGACCAACAGTTAGAAACAGACGAGTGTAAAACAAGCCCAAACATAGCTTTCTTCTCTCTTTCAAAGGTATTGAAATTCCATAAAATCTCAAATTAAGGGCGTATAATGCTATGATAAACCGAATTCTGATATATGGCTGTGAGACCTGGACAATAGCCAGTACAATTTGAGAGAAAAATCTTCTACTAGATAGCAGTAACGATCTGGGATCAGAGTACTAATGTATGGAGGAGAGAAAATGATAAAGAGCTGTTAAACTGTCCAATCAATATCTCATAATATGAAGGCAAGGTTATGTAGCTCGGAGCAATCCATCAGGAAGCCTCTACAACGATGGACAAACTGACAATGAAGCCTGAATAATGATTGCCTCAATAGAAGGCAAAAGACCACGTGGAAGGCCAAAAATGATAAATTGAATCAACAAAGCTGCAATAGAGCTGCATGCACATAACTGATAAGAAATAGCCCAAGATAGGCAGAGATGGTTAAGAGGGCAAAACATCTACAAGGTCTGTAATGCCAACTTAAAAAAAACATACTTGCCCATAGCAATGATATTTTGTAATTCTAACACAACCTAACTCAATTTTTACTAAAATGAGTTAGATACCTAATTGGAAAAGTTTCTTTGCCCTTGATCGAATCGTTACAAATGGTATGTAAAATAAATGTTTTCAAAACTTCTGAGGTTAAAACATGCTATAAATTATAAGGAGGTTATTAGAACCAAAATTAGGCAGTTTATTATATAGTGGATTAACTAAACATATACCTGACATGTGTCTTTTCCTTCAGCTGATCCGGTACACAACATTGAGTCTTCTAAAATACCCTGTGGAATCAGGTCTTGATGTTTTCTACCATATTTTTCCCTGCATACTTGATGGGATACAGGTGGCAAAACTACTTTCTGAAGTTTTGAACTTCGCCTTCCCTCTGGAAAACATTAATTTTTGTATACTACCTATTTTTAAATCAATTCAAATATTATAATGCTATCAAACCAACTGAAACCATACCCTTAACTTTATCATAAAAATCAAAGAAAGAGTAAAATAAAAAATATTATGAGTACGTCAGTCCACAGGCGGATCTACGAGAAGGATTTCGGGTTGAAGCCCTCCCACTCCAAAAATGGTAAAATATAACCATGTTTTATAGAGAAAAGTATTAAAAACTATCTCTTAAAGTATTATTGCTAGAGTAATTACATTTAATAGAATTTCAAGAATCACTTAAACACTATTTCATATAAGTAGTTAATTTCTTTACTTTTATAAAAAAAAGTGACTATCGTTATATATATGAAAAAAAAAAAACAAGCTTTCGGGCTGAAACCTCACCCAGGAATATTATGAAAAGGAAGGGAGGCATTTCCAAAAGAAGCGAATTTTATACACCAAAAGTGTGTGTATATATATATATATATATATATATATATATATATATATATATATAAGTCAATCATATGTCCTATTTTCCACCTGATAATGAAGAGATAATGGAGGCCATTGATATATATATATATATATATATATATATATATATATATATATATATATATATATATATATATATAATATATATATATATATATATATATATATATATATCAATGGCCTCCATTATCTCTTCATTATCAGGTGGAAAATAGGACATATGATTGACTTTTTCCAATCTTCTGGTAAAACCTCTTCCTCAGTTAGGTCATCAGCTCCAAGTGCCTAAGTATTCTTTAGCCAATCAATGGCCTCCATTATCTCTTCATTATCAGGTGGTTCAATGTTATCTTCCTGGTTCCTAACTGTCAACTCTTCTCTTGGTTCTGATCCACAGGGGGGCTGAGTTGAGTAGCTCCTCAAAGTAACTTTTTCATTGTGACAGAAAATCACTCTACCAGGCCACTATATTCCTATCCTTGCCTCTACAGGTTTCTGGTGTCTTTGTTCTGGAACTTCTCCATTGATTGATGCTCCTGAAAACTCCTCTTGTTTCCTCTATTATTTTGCCATAAATACAAGACCCTTGAAGGCTTCAATAACCCCTAGTAAATTAATATGACTGGCAAAGCTGACCATCAAGAAGTGAAAAGTACTGTACGGGATGGTGGGCAAAGGGCGGAAGAGTTCTTTTCAGGAAAAGGACTTTACCAAGGTGATGCGTTAGCATCCTGTTTAACTTGACATTTGAGAAAGCAGTGAGGGATTCAGGTTTGCAAAATGACAAGACAGTTTACAATCGGATAGTCCAGCTGTTGGCCTACGGGGATGACGTGGACATTGTGGGACGATCGTTGCAATCAGGCAGAGAGGGATTTTTAGCTGTTGGAAGCCGCCAGAGCACTTGGGCTGGAGATGAACGAAATAAAACTAAGTGTATGACCATAGGAGAAGTACCCCGACCTGGCGAGATGTATATATACACCCAAAAACCAATTATCGACAGGGAAAGTAACCAGTTATTGAACCATATTCAACCATCAAACAAGTTTATTTTGAACAAAACTGTCCTAAAAGCTCTAAAGGAGGCAATCTCTCTATCAGGCTCTGGGCACAGTAGACCCATAACTTACTTGTCCGAAATTCATCATATGAAACAAACTGAAGAGTATAGAGCCGATCAGTTTTCAAAGATTAAGATATGGCGCAGAAAAAGTATTATACGAAGAATGGAATGTTAAAGGCATTAATGCAAAGAAAGTAGAGCTTGTGGAGAAAGTAAAGAAAGCAGGAATCACCATATTGGGAATTACAGAAACCAAAAAGAAAGGAAGAGGGGAGGAGTAAATCTGGAATTTTGTATTAGTATACTGAGGGGTGAACCCCATTGAGCGCGCTAAGAGCGGGACAGCTTGCATATTCCACAAAGACAAATCTATGTTCATAACAGAATGGAAAGCTATAAACGACAGATTATCATCTATCAAATTCTTAAGGGATAACAAGCTCTACACATTGTTAATTAAGGCAATGGCCTACGGACCAAATAACAATGTCTCTGCCACAGAAAAAGATATGTTCTTTGAAACATTGCAAAGAAAAATAGACGATAGTGATGGAATTCCTATTATTATGGGAGACTTAAATGGCAGGGTTGGTAATGACAGGAAAGTATTTCCTCATACCAAATCTGAGTGGTACATGGCCAGGCTCTTCTCAATCTCCCTAGCTTCATTTTTAGAACAATATCTTCTTCATCAAAAAATGAATACATTTTTAAATTCGTCTGCCTTCTCCAGTCTCCATAAAAATTAATTCTTTAAAGAATTTTCCATCCGAAAACTAGGAGATCTTGTTCAATTTTCTTACTAGTTGTCCATGTTTCTGATCCATACAACAAAACTGGGCAGACTAAAGTTTTGTATGGCTTGGTCTTACGGGATAGAAGGCGAGAGGCGAATTCCTTGTGGAGGCCAAAGTAACACCTGTTGGCCATCAGTATTCTTTTCTTCACCACAATCTCAGATGTATTATCAAGAGACATCAGTGACCCCAAATCTGTGAACTGGGCCACTTTCTTAAAATTAGAGAGGTCAATATTGATAATCTCGCCAGGTCGGGAGACTTCTCCTATGGTCATATACTTAGTTTTATTTCATTCATCTCCAGCCCAAGTTTTAACAACACATAACATATATCAACAACATATGTTACAGTGAAAGTAAAAAGATCCTTTTAGCTAACTAAAAGTCTCTAAATGTATATATTTAAGTTTCAGCTTTGTAACCATTATACTTACTCAATTTATACATTATTTATTTGCGATTCCACATACTTATTTAATGTTAAGTTTAACTTCCTAGATGTTATTAGACTATACCTTTTACCTACATATTATTACTATTACCATATACCAGTTTATCAATAAATATATCTTATCTTGGCATAGCCCTGCTGAAGGCCTGAAATGTCAGCGTGAAGGAAATAAAAAAAATATAATTTATTTATTTTTACTTTGTATTTTCACTGTCTGAAAATCCCAACCAACTTCTCCTCGAATTACTATCATTGGAATCATTGGAATTAGCAATGATTAAATTTGTGACCACAAATTAAATCTGTGCACAGCAAAACTATTTTTTGTTATTTAATATATTTTTTGTGACTTACGCCATCTAGTATGTCCCCAGCCAGATGCCACAAGTTTTTCACTTCCTATTTCCTTGCTAGTGTGAAGACAGAGTGGACGAACATATGTGCTAAGTTTGGCCTCTGATTCCAATTCAAACAGTGCTATGTCATGATACAGAAGATTGCTATTGTATTGAGGGTGACCTATTTTTCTAATTACTTTGATGTTTTCAGGCTCACTGTCCTCTGTTTCAGACGATGTGTCAAGATCTCCAAGTCTAACCCAGTATTGGAAACTGTAAGAATAAATATTGAATATATATCTTGTATGTTTTTATACTAATTTATTTTCACTTGATTCATGTCTTGTTTAATTCAATTTAATAATAATATTGTTGGATCAAAACCAAAATTGCCTTAATCAATTCTTAATTCATTAGAGTAAGCATTATGAATACATACTCAAGTTTTAATCCAATTTTTTTCCTACATGGTAGAAATAAAAATAGAACATATTACTAATGTAAAAATTATGCCGCTTGTTCATGTTGCTCATTATGATACTAGGTATTTCAAGCCTGTTTGGACACCAAAATAAAAGTCTTTTAGGCAGTTTTGATTAATGAAAACAAAAACTAACTATAACGATTTGTCGGTTGTTGATTTTAATATGTTAATTTAAATTATTATTTAAGAATATAATCATTACCATACAGCTATTATTTAATACAAACATAAGTGATTCTTGTTGACATACAAACAATATAATCTTGACAAAGATGAAAACCTTCTTCACAATGAAAATGCCATCAAAATTTTTGAGGGAGCATATTTTGATGGGTTACAACCAACGTTTACGTTTGTCTGGCCCACGCCAGCATTTATAGAGGAGGTTTAAATATATACATCTATATATTATACTCAGAAATTAGGAAAAAAAGGGGTATATAAAGCGAGATATATACAAATGCGGGGAAAAGATGGCATTCTGATGGCATATAAAGAAAAGACATTGAGCATCTGGGAAGAAGATTTCAAGGAGCTTCTCAATTAAGGGGATCTCTCAAAAGAAGATGACATGAACCACACTGAGGACTTCGACCCAGAAGAAGTTGAAAAACCAGATATACTGAATGTAGAAGTAATTATCAAAACGGGGCGGGGTGGCCGAATGGGCTAACATGTGTACACAGCACCTTCATTGCCCAGCAACAGATACATAGATAACAGGATAAAAATAGTCACAAGTTCACGTCCCGGTGCCAGGATAGTCTTATAAATCCCCACCCTCACCCCCTGGCCCGGGAAAACCCCATATAGCCTTAAAGGCGAGGAAGGGGAGGTTTTTTACTTCTACAAAAAAAATTTAACTATCAAAAAGCTTAAAACAAAAAAGGCCCCAGGCATAGACAATCTACCATCAGAACTATTTAAATACGGGGGGAGAAGACTTAACTAACTACAACTAATCCAGAAAATATGGGATGGGGAAAGGATACTAGAGGCTTGGAATGCAGGGCTAAGCTGCTGTATCCTAAAGAGAAGAATCCATGCATGAATGTGGCAATTACAGAGGCATAATTATATTATAGCACTTCTTTCAGTTGCTTACAAAATAATGACCAGTATCCTACTAAACTAAATTTATCCGTATTATGAAAATATTATAAGCAACCATCAATCTGGATTCAGAAACTTTCAAACAAAATGGGCTTACTGCAGAGGGAAGGAATATCTCTGATATTGTTAAACTTAACACTGGAGAAGGTGATAAGAACACCATATGAAAATGGAGGGGTCCATGTCCAAATGAATCATAAAATCCTTGCATATGCAGATGATATAGTTGTCCTTGGAAGTAATCAAGAGGACATTGAGAAATTTGCTAAGGCTCTGATAAGAGAATCAGAGCAAATCGGTCTACAAGTAATTGAAGAAAAGACATTATATATATATATATATATATATATATATATATATATATATATATATATATATATATATATATAAAAAATAATAAGACAAAAATTCCACCCCAATAACAAGATATGCATAGAAGGAAAATTGTTCCCAAGAGTGAAAAAATTCAAATACTTCAGCACTGCAATAACCTCACTGAATGAACAATGGTCAGAAATAGACCAACATATAACAAGCCCAAACAGAGCACTTTTTAAAAGCTATTTTTTTTTCATAAATTCATTGATTGAAAAATTATTTTATGAAGACATAAATTTGGAACAACTATATACAATTATAATGAACTAAAAAATATTCTCTATTTTAGCAAAATAAAAAAATACCTGTTTGATAAAATGCAGTGAGCAGCAGATAATATAAATTTAGGGCTGATTAAACTTCCTCCACATACCCATTCAATCTTCTTTCGTTTATTTTCTTCAAAACCAATTAGTGCCTAATTACAATAAAAAAATATACCAAATAGTTGTGACTATGAATTAACTATGTTATTCAACGTTCAAAGTTCAAAATTGGAACATCAAAAAAACTAATAAATAAAAAATTGTAAAATTAATTGTTTGTAGTAATAGTATGTTGACGAAAATGAGCATCTAAAGATTGATTGCTTGTTATTCAATTTATTGTTAGAATAAATTGTCTAATTTATTCCTGGAACAAATTGTCATACAATTTATAATTGAAATAACCTAATTACCTGACTAAGTGAAGCAACAAGAAGGTAATGTGTTTGGGCTGTCCGTTTAAAGCAATGTAATTATTTTTCAGTGAGATCACATGAGTGTTTTGAAACAATTTAAGCTAAAACAAAGTTCCCTGATTGAATAAAATGTGTTTAATTAATTTGCTAAAAGGTATGTAATGATTTTTTGAGCGAATGGGTGGATCAATTTTTAATTTTTATGGCTCAAGTTATTCGGTGAGATTGCATATATGTTTTGAAGCAATTACATGACAGATGCAAATTATGGAAAATTTGGACTAAAAATAATAGACTAAACTATTACCCTAGATAAATTGAAATACATAAGATTGAAGACATACCTACCTTCCAATTAATATCGAAAATAACCAAATTCTTCAGACAGACACCATGCACTATCTTGGATTTACCTCTGACATGATGATGACATGGAGCCCATATGTTAAAACTTGTTTTCAAATCTTCAAAATCATAAAATATTGCAGGATTTGGTTTGAAAAGAAAGATTGCCAACTGTTTAATCAAAATAGTTTTCACTACTATCAATACATTTCTGCCAATGTGTTGGCAACTTTTCATTTCCCTTTGTCCATTAAATTTTTTGTAATGTAAGTTGTGGTCTAGGTGTCTAAAAAAATAATAATTGTAGGCAAGAGGTGGTAGAGTTTCATGTCCAAGCTCCAACAGTTTTTGTGACATCACACGTGAGAAATGCGGCCGGGCGTTGTCATGCAACAAAATGGGCTCCTTCCGAATTAACAAACTTTTTGATCTTTCCAATCGGCTTGAGGTGGTCATCGATGGTCAATTTGCTATGGGTAAGTTTCTCTGTAAGTTCTTGAACAGTTATTCTGGGGTTTACTTCCACCACAGCCCCCAGTACATCGTCATCAAGAGAGGAAGTTCTTCTTTGCCTTTAAGGCTGAAGTCTTCCTCCTAACATTTTTTTTACCACCGTTGAACAGTGTACTCATTAATGCTGCTCTTGCCCCAGACTTGATCAATGTTTCCAACCGTCTGGACTCCATTCTGGCTGAGTTTAAACTCGTAAAACAAACTTATACCAAAATCACGCGTTGACATCTTAGTAAAGACTGATTTATTGCTAAGCAGCAAAATACTACAGAGGTAAACAAACATTATCGTTTGGAAGAGGATTAATAAGTGTTGACATCCATGCAAATAAATAATCCAGTAAAGGTAAACAATTTGCTACATAGTGGGGTATTTTAAAGAAAACTCAAAATCCTGCATTATTTTCTGGACAACCCCATATATATACTTACATATGCTCAGATGGATATGCTCCTCACTGATATATGGTATTGTTATAATAACTCACTTATATAAACTTCGAACTTTTTTATTCAAAAATGTTATGGCTAACTAAAGCACCTTATTACGTTACCAAATCTTTACGTTCCGATTTCCATCTGCCAACAGTTGACCAACACATAAGGAGTGTTTACCAATCATTTCATACTAATTTACACGGACATTCTAACATTCCAGTAAGAGACATGGCTTCAGCTGAAATCTGAAAAATGCAGGGTTGTATGAAATAACTACCGAAATGATGTGGTACGTGGGTAATGAAGATGAAGAAATGTTTCTCCATCCATCTCTTAAACCTGATATGGCACAAGAAAATAATACTGAAGAACTGAGAATCTGCTCAATTTACCAAGCAAGCTCAACTCAAAAATCATGAAAGCAAGGATAAGAAGAGTGGTCGAGTGTCAAATTGGATGCTTAGGAACCAAGTCCAAATCCCTAGGAATTGAATGCAGCCAATTTGGATGGCCTCGTCATGTTTGCTGTGGATAACTGGACCCAGTGGGGGTCTGGAACCCACAATGCAACTTAAATATCATTCAAGAAGAGCATCAACATGGATATTAATTCAGAAAAACAAAATGCATAAGAATAAGAAGATGACCCCGCTGAGTTATGAGAACATTGAGGTTGAAAGGACAGGTCTTGGAACAGGAGCAGGTTTTCAAATATCTTGGTGCCTGAATCAACGCAAGTGGCAATATGGATGGAGAAGTGATGTAAAGACTGGGAGCAGCTGGAGGAATGTTCCGCACAATCTGAAAATGTTTCCGTCTAAAAGTAAACATTTTTGCTGCCCATTCTTTCATACTCCTTAGAGTCATGGACCCTTAACTCTAAACACAAGAGGCAAATCCAAATAACGGAGATGAGGTACCTTAGAAAAGTTGAAGGTAAGACCAGTAAATATCGGATTTGTAACAAAAGCATAAGGTCAAACCATGAGGTACAGCAGAAACCATTCTAGAAGAGAAAAAACTAAGATGGTTTTGGAACCTCCTTAGGATGAGTATGGATAGAATGGCCTGGATAACATACGAGACATGAGTGAAGTGAATAAGACCAAGAGGAAGACCATAGATCACCCAGGAAAAAAGCATTCAGGAAGTGAGGGGTTGACTAGAACAGAAAGAGAGAGCTAGTACAGGAGAGGAACACTTGGCTTAGCTCTATAGAGGGCATTCCCATGGCGATGAAATGGCCTAGTGGGCAACGCATGTGCACAGCATTGTGTTACCAGGTAACCTGATAGAAGATAATTTGATAGTTCAGAGTTTGGCCATTAAGAACTGAGACACCTTCCCTGTATATACATTTTGTTTATTTATACCCATTGAGTATTACTCAATATGTTTCTTTCTTTTTTTTTAATGTATGATTATGTAAATTTATTTAAATATATTTAGATTCAACAGAAATAATTTTCAGTTTTTATTATTTATTTCTATGTATTATTATTAAGAGGTTTCACCAACCTCAAATAGACAAAAAATACAGTTACGTGTTTTTCATTGCCTACCATCGATTGGTCAACAGTTACCACACTAAGTTTTGGTGGATAATGCTGTGATTTCACATAGGGAATATTCATCATACTATTCACTAATTTAATTTTCTGAAGTGTTACTTAATGATATTTCAGAATAAACCAAAGAAATATTCCTAATTATTTAAATATATTATCGTATCTAAAGTTATTAAACTACTGTCAATTTATATAATAAAATATGAATTGAGAAAAAAAAATGTGACAATTACCATGTGAGGAAATTCTTTAGTCTTGGCATCAACTCCACCAACTATTAGAGTTTCAATGCTACATTCTTGAAGACTAATGATCCTTGGTTTCTGTCCAGGTAGCATTGGAGCAATTGTCACATTTTGATAAACATATTTGGAATAAACTCCACACACTTAAATAAAAAAAATATAGGTATACATAGCTTAATTGATTATCATTGCAATGTCATGAAGACTTAATTTGGAATGTAATATTTAACCCATAAAGTATCTTGAAATATTATGAGCATTGTATGCTAGTTTATTATGATTAGCAAATTTGTTTTTAATATTATATTAATTCACATTTGTTATTGTCTAAACTATCTAGCTCTGAAAAAATATTATGCTAATTTGACATTTATTCAGACCTTAAAAGATAATAAATTAAAAAAAGAGAATTATTTTAATATCCTTGTTACCTAAATGAAATTATATTTATAACATTACATACTTTCTTCTGCCTTGGATCCTGGTGAGGATTTACTGCGTTTTTCATTGTTTTCCTCATCAATCGACTGGGCTGAAGGTTTTTTTGTTGAAGCAGAAGGCTGAGACCCCGAGGTTGAACCACTGCTGAAAAATTCATTTTCATGTGGACAACAAAAAACAGCCTGATTGCCAAGAAATGAACATATATCAGGCCGAACACCTTTTTCTATGGTTTTTTTTAGAGTGGAACAGTTTTCCCGAGTTTTGCATATCCAAGGGTCAGGTCCACTTTTGCAAACTTCACCAACACCTATACTTACATAAAAACAGTAATTATCTTGTAAATAAATATTTCCTTTACACATCTCATAATTACTTTACTAAAATATTCTACTTCAATTTTGTATTAAGTATTAGTTACCAAAAATCAGTATGACATTTTTTGCAATGATAAGAAGAAAAAAATAGATGTTTTAGTGATTGTCAGGTATCAGAGTTGTACTTTTTTAATAAATAGAGTTAACAGAGAATGGAACTTAAAGTAATGGCATAAAAGTTAATTTATAGTCGTTGACTTTCACCCTAAAATATTGTTGTTTTTTTTCAAATGAAAATAATAATTTCAAGAAAGAATAGTTAGATTAGGAATTAGATGACAAAAACATTTTTAAAAAATAATTATATAAAATAAATTACTTATAAGGAATATAGTACAGTTATATGTCCAAATAAGCTGCCGATAACAGTTATGTGCATGATAAAGAAAATCTTTCTTGAAGGGAACATTCAGAAAATAAAGATGAGGGAAGACTTACTAAATCTTGGAGCTTTCAATAAGTGGGGAGATTTCTTAGTTGATAAATTTAATGGTCCCAAAATATTAATACGAGTCTTCATTGTAAAAGAAATTGACCATATATATTTTTTTAATAAAAAAGGTAATCAGAGGGGGGAAAAGAAAAATCAGTCTAATGAGTTTATCTTTTAAGGTCTATGCATATTATAACAAATACTAATAATATTGTTTAACAAATATTAATAGAAAGCACAAATTGGTTTCAGATAAAATAAGAGAACTATTTGAAACAGATCTCAGAAGCAGCTATAGGATATGATGATGCTGTTATAGACCTATACTTTATTAGTTGAAAAAAAACTATCTGTTTCTGTTCCTAGGTAAGTCGTTCTGATGGCATTTATTCTAAAGGTTTGCAAATAAAAAGAACTCCCTCATTGAGATGTTAGTTACTTCAGCTAGTTCAAATTGTGGCTTTTTACTAATAGTGTCAAAGAATTCAACTAAATTATGAAAGTAAAAAATAATACAGGTATGGAAAAATAGAGCATAGTAAGAAAGAGGATAAATTAAGTTTGGGTTTAAATCAATGAGAAATAAAAACTAATATCTCTCATAACAGGTTTATATGATACTTTTTTGTAAATAATGTTTGTATCTTTAAAAACATCAATTAGCTGAATATTCTGAGAATTGAACCTGTAGCAGAAGGTCAGACTCAGCAACTACTGTTGACACTGGTTTTTACAAATTACTTAGGTATTCATGCAAAACAATTTAAACAAAAAAATAAACCTAAATAGTGGCATAAAAAGTTAACTTGTATTCACTGCCCTCCTTTCAAAAAAATTCTTTTTATTGTCAAATCAAAATAATGATTTTAAATAAGGATAGTTATTAGATGAAAAAAAAAGTATTTTAAAAGATTAGAAAATGTTTGAATATTAAGTTAAATAAATTACTTTTATACAACATAGTCCTCCCAAATACGCCACCAACAATACTTGTGAACACGAAGATGGAAATCATCCTTGTGCAAAACATTTTTAAAACGACGTGAGGAAACAAACTGAATCTTAGAACTCCCAGTGACCTGGTAGATTTCTCAGCTGATAAATATAATGTTCTATAGATATTAACGCGCAATCGTCTTAGTTTAAGATATGAACCATAACTAATGGAAAAAGGAAGTTTAATCTTCCATCCCTCCAAACCAGTCAGTGGCGGACACGAAAAACTATAGCGCTGTCTGCAATATGACTCAATGCTGAAGCTCCAACCTCTCGTTTTCATGTTATTTTTTGTTTGAATTTATTTTTACTGAAAATTTGTTTTTTTATATTATTGAAAGACTATGATAGCAAAATGCCTAAAGGACGGCGCTCACTTGTCCACTCCGGAGTGCCTCGGCCCGTAAAAAAGTAACTTTGACTGAATATTTAGCGAGGCCGCTCCATAGTGGACCGAAACGTTAATAAAATCGTGGACAAAATACCAATTTTCAAGTACTTCATTTTCTCAAAAAGTTTTATATATTCTTGAAGCTATCTGGGGGCATTAAATGTACCAGAAATGATTATTTTAAAAATGTTTCTAATGGTGAAATTTAATTCCAAAGTTGGTGTTTTTGGGAGAGTAAATTTTAATGAAATGGGATAACGATTTATATTAAATTACAGCTCAAAGAAAAAGTCAAAATCTAAGGAAATAACAGTGCAGAATACTTATTGTGACTCCTATATGTACTTTTTTTGCACCTACACTAATACTCGATTACCGTAAAAGGGTTTAAAAAAATCGCCCTTTTGAGTTATTTGTACATTATTCAGGTGGTCAGTAGGGTTGTCTGGCCCACCGAGTAAAATATATTTTTTCGTTTTCTCGTCACATTTTAAAAAAATCTGGTGCGCGCAACACACAACTTTCACTTACGGATCTACTTTGAATAGAAATTATTTTCTGGCAATGCTGGGCTATTACAAAATTTTTCGAAGTGCATTTTAAACGGAGCTAAAGCTTGAAGCTTACAGATAACAAGTCATAAAGACCTTTATAATTACAAAATGTCTATTTAATATATCAACGACAAGCAATAAAAATCTAGGCACTCCATCTGCTTTTATAAACCACACAACTTTCTTTGCTTTTATAAACCACAGAATGACTAACTCCAATTTCAACATTTTTGAGTAATGTCATTTTAGTGATATTTTTAGTTGAAAAAGTTATCTATGCAGACAATGAGTAAGTTGATTCCAGAGGTGGTGATTGCAGTGTTGAAATATAGAGCTGAGAATAAAGGTATAAATTTAGGTATTTATTTCTTATGAAAGATGTTCTTAGGAAAGACACTTTATTAAATATCTGTAGAAAAAATGTTTTTTTAGTCTCAAAAATTAAAAAAATATATTTTAAATTTATCTAAATTTTCGCCTCTTCAGGGAAAAAAACTAAAGACCATATCTTTCCTCCTAATTGTCCGATTTTAACGATTTTTTTTTTGTTTTTTTAGAAAATTCCGTAAACTTTTATAAAACCATATACAATATCCCCAAAAAAGCGTATACTGTATAATTTTAACATCCCTCGTAACTTTTTTTACAGCTTCTTTTCGTTGAAGTATGTTATATAGAAAATATAAAGGGTATCGAGAAAATGACTTTAGCGAAGTTTCATTGAAATCCGTACATTCGTTTCGGCGCTACAGTCTATAGCAACGCAGGTTTTTCTGCATTTTTATTGTTTTTTCTCCTTTATTAACTTATCAAATTCTTTCAAAAGTTATATTAAGCATTTTTTCGTAACTCTGAATAATGTGAAATGATTAACTTTTTAAAATAAACCATATTAAAGGTACTTTAGAGGAAAACTTATATGAACCTTGGACATTTAACCTTGTAAAGTGACATAAATGGGGATAAGACCTAATTGATATTAAAGACCACTTAATTATACAATGATACACCGAGTTAAATCAAAATCGTTAGAGCCGTTTTTGAGAAAATTGTGAAAATGTGTTTCAGCGTTGATATGAAGTGGCACTTCCGGTTAGCCGATATTTGGAAAAAGTTGCTGTCACATCTAAGGGATATACCTATCATAAATACGTAATATCAGTTTCGTAGAACTTTTCGTTTTTGAGCTAGACTGCTAACATACAAACACACAGACGATAATTAATTTAAAAAAGAAAAAGAAAGAAACTAACTACCCATATGACATGGTGTCTTAGTTATTCTTGAAGTCCTGTTAAATGTAATCACACGAACAATAATAATTTAAGAGATAGTTTTTAATATTTTTTTCTATAAAACATGGTTATATTTTACCATTTTGGGGGGGGGGATGGCTTCAACCCGAAAGCACCCCCCGTAAATCCGCCTGAGTACGTAAGTGACAGTAAAAATGAGTTCAATCAGTAATTATAAACGAGATTTGTTTCTATGCATCTGCATATGTATCTCATTTTAGGTTAAATTTATGTTAAATTGTTAAAGAAAGGAATCACTAAATGATTTTAAATAATCAACTCTAAACATTTCTGCTGAAAATCGAGTTTCTCTGATAAGTACTTTTCCACTAAATAATTTTATCTTAATAATACTATAAGAGATAATTTTTTAATATATTTTCCATAAAACATAGTTACATTTTACCATCTTTGGGGGGAGGGGCTTCAGCCGGAAAGCCTTTTTCGCTCCCCGTAGATCCGCCTGCGCATTAAAAAAATATTAATCCAACGACCAAGTGTATTCATAGGTATCTCTTTTCTTCGGGGTGTAAATACAATTCACAATACTTCCTCCAATGCGAGCATCGAGGATAATCTTTTCCCACCATCCATTGTTTCCTCCAAAAAATCAAGACTAATGTTTTACTGTTTTACCAGATTGTAAACCTTTATACATTTTTTTTTTTTTTTTTTTTTTTTTTTTTTTTTTTTTTTTTTTTTTGAAAGAAAATTCCGTAAACTTTTGAATAACCTCATGCAATATCTACAAAAAGTGTAAAAAGTGTATACTTAATTTGGAATCTAATTTTACCATCCCTCGTGACTTTTTTCCAGCTTCTTTTCGTTAAAGTATGTTATATGGATAAATTTAAAGGACGTTTAGAAGAAGAGCTTAGCGAAGTTTCATTGAAATCGGTACATTCGTTTAGTCTCTACAGTCTATAGTAACAGATTTTTCGGTCACCATCTTGAAAGGAAAAGGCAGATAGAAATGTTCATGAAGGAGGATTATTCCCGGGTGACCTCTAATTTTAAATCCAAATTTGAGAAAAATCGATCCAGTAGTTTCGGAAAAAATGCGCGGTCGGCAGACGGACAAAAAAATTTGTATTCGTTCTTCGAATCCTGAAACTTAAAACCTCAAATTTGTAGGGAAGGGGACTTGGATTTTCATCATTCCTCAGTCCTTCAGGACCCCTTCTGTTTTTGAGGCGAATTAATTATAGTAATTTCTTTATTATTAAACATTTTTTTAAAAAATGAATAATCCCGAAAGTAGGATCTTTCGTCTCGTCAAAAATTAGTATCTGGATATCTAATTGCCCGGGGTTTAAATTTTATGGGAAAGTTATCTTCTGTACTCCTTGTGAAAAATCAATCAGGTGTTATACGAAATCAACGGCTGACGTTCATAGTAGAGCAGGTAAGAACAAATACTTCTGAATCTTTTTTTCTTTAAATAATATTTTTTTAGTGATCCAAAAAAATTACATCAACGTTAATATTTTGACGTTTGTGAATCTCAAATATTAAAGTATATTTCTGAAGTTTCCTAAAAATTCTTAGGAATTTCATTTTCAATGTAGCATTTTAATTCTTTTTTCTCTTTACACTTCATTTTAACTCAGGAGCTTAACACAAAGTTGGATCAGATTTGTACTAATACGATTTATGTATTAATTTTGGATTGATGATTGTTGCTTGTTTTTAAGAATTAAATAAATATTTAGGTTTTTTTACTGCACAATTTTTCACGTTTTGAGTTTTTGAGAGCTGCACGAAGATCGAGTCTGTAATTATAAGCTTCCAATAAAAGGCCCAGTTTCTTTTTTTTTTCTTTTTTTTTTTAAAACTTTTATTGAGTATTAATACAGTCTGCCACATTGAAGGGCATTGGTACTAGGGCTATAGTATTCATTCACACAATATGTACATAAGAAAGGAAAATATATATATATATATATATATATATATATATATATATATATATAAAGATAAAGTAATATACAAGATAATTAAAACAACAGATCAGCCGAATAGTTTCTTTTCATATTCTCTTTAATATGTATCAAACTACAGAGAGTTTGAAAATATGAAATTTTACAATAAAATAAATCGACCAATATTCAAGATCATTAGCTAATTATCTTTTACTTAAAAAAAAAAAAAATATGGGTTTGTCAAACTCATCAAAATTATATTTAAAAATCCGTATAAGAAAAATAAACAGTGATCTTTCCTCGTTGTAGATTAGATATATACTTGACCTATAATGCTCATCATACTGGGTCAGGATCAAAATAGATAAAATCTATAGTTTGATTGGGAACTATTAAAAAAATATGTCCAATGCAATTTTCAATAAATATAACTTAAAAGGATTAAACTAATTATTAAATATAAATGAATTAGTATTGGGGAAAAACCCGATTGACAAGTTGTGCTCAGCTGAGCGCCGTAAACAGGATTTCTTTCTTCTGACGTCAATCGGCCGTGTGGTCTCAGTCTTGTCCTGTTCTTCGGCGCCTCCAGGTATTTGGCCATGATCGTCACCATCTTCTGGACCCTCTTTTGTGCCGTTTCTGCGCAAAACTTCCTCTACCTCAGTGAGTATTGTCCTGGAACGTAGTTTTCAAAGACAGGTATTTTTTAAAATTAAATTCATCAGAACGTAAACAATGCGACCATACTCATATAAACCAAGATGCGGCAAACATCTCAAGTTGTTGTGAATAACATAAAGATTATTGATTTCATTATTGGCTACAAAACTGCTTATTTGTAAAATTATTTCTCAAAATTGATAAATATAATTTGGTCATTGTTTTAGGCATTATTAGAAAATAAATATACAATGAAACAAAGCATCTATTATGATATGTGCATTTCATTGAGTTCTATTTCCCCAAAATCAACATTATGTCATAAACACTGTT